ATATACATTTTTTTTTGGTCATAATATTTTCTGCTTTGACGTCCAAAGCGAATTCCTGTATTTTACCGCCATTACGTATACATACATATTGTTCCTCGGAGACAAGAGGCTTTCCGAAAATTAGCGCAGGAATATCCCGCGACAGACGTTAATCACGATTGAAACGATTGTCTGGCAAGGCACGAACGTTGGAGTGCGCCGAATATTTATTTATAAATCAGGGTATGATACCCGCTGTCATACTTCTGCGGATGATATATCGTTTAGATTGCTTGCCAGATTCGTTTGGTACACCGCGCAATCACGACACCGAATAGATCTCGATGGTGGCGTAAATTATTTACAGGACTGACAACTCTGTCAACCGCGATGTAATTCTCGACGCGTACGCGGACAGACAGATATTTTCCTTCTGACATGCGATTTTTTCATCTCTGCCTCTCCGGAGTAATGAAGACCAAAATGTGCCGCAACTAATCAAACCCAACATGAATATACATGTACATTCGAAAAAATCTAAGCTTCCCGTGTATTCTAACGTTTCTCCATATTTTTCCATATTTCTCCATCATAATGTGGTGTTAACAGCATTTTGCAAGAACTGAAATGTTTATAGCTTTTTACAGAAATAGCGGGATCAAACGCAAATGTATACATTCCTGCGAATCGTTGCGAGAGATTTAAATGAGATACGCATCAATCGGAGTCACGTCGAATTAATCTTCTGTGATATTAATGAATAAGAGAGATTGGATCGAGAAACAGCGGGGCGCTCCATATTTCTCAATTATTTCTTGCGACGAATCCGGCGCCCGTTCTATATCGTGCCGGGGCGCTCTAATCTACTCGGCAAATCGGTAGATTAAATCGTAATGCCCTGTACAGCATTCGGTAAGGACGACAGAAATAACTGGTCAACGAAGAAACGTGCGCGAGATGGATATGAGAACGGAAGCGCATCTATAAATATATATAGATGGACATAGAAAACGATGTATCTACACGGAGGGAATGTTCTCTTAAAGTTTATCCTGAATATCACGTAATCGTGGGGCAACTGTGCGTTTCCAAGAATTTGATGAGAGTTTTTGGAAATTTTGAGAGAAAATTCTGCCAGTGTACGTTTGAAATCGGAAAAACTCGTTGAAATCACACTCGGCGCCATGTACACGCGGTACATAAATAACTTGAGCATTTCATAGCATGCCACCTTGCTATCTGTATGACAATATTAGAAGGGGTGTGGCAATTGTGTTAAGCGCTTCAGAAATAAAAAGGGGCTCTTCATCAGAGCTCAGGAAAGAAACATGAAATTTGCTATTAATATTCACACAAGGTTTAAACGTTTCATGGAGGATTACGCAGGTTTGTTCTCAATAAGCGGTCTCTTCCTTGAAACCGAGCACGAAGCTACGAGGCATCCTACTAATTGGTTCGCCAGTTCGACCGACTCGTCTCCGCGTGTATGTACGTCATTAAAATAAGTTGCACTTCGCCCACATGGAATAATTTCGGGTGCGAAGGCTTAATGTTCCCGGCGGACTTTCTTTTGGTAGAAAAACAAAGAGAGAAGAAAATCCCGGCAGGGCAACGCTGCGTCGGGCGCACTTAGAGCCCCCTTGTCCCCGGGAAGTTCGGAGTCACCGATGCGTTTCCTGCTAATGAGGAGGAATCAAAGGTACGTTGTGCCGTTGGAGGAGGTCCGCGCGCATTCAGCAAATCTTCTAGGACACGTCTTTGAAGACGGAAATGCAATTAAATCGTCTCAATTTACTCGCTGTCCTAAGCATCCGGTGTCCTAAATGGATCGCGACTTCTTCGGTAACACTTTCTTCGGGATCGGCTCGCTCGTCGATGACGCGATTGTCGAGGGCATTCAGGGTTCTTGCGAAAAGATTTCTACAGTCGCGTCGGGGGGGGGGGGGGAGTTCGCGCTTATTTTTAAAAATCACTGCGACTTATTTAACGGTTGTTCAATTGGTGCTTTTGACAT